CATAGAAAGACTGAAGCAAGCGTGGGCACAACTGTACTGAAACAAACACTCATCCGTAAACTTATTCTAAAATGCAATCTGATGATCTCCCATCCTTTCCTCGGTCCCACCTTCTAACCTTGCTAATCTTGAAAGTTCATCTCTATTATATGTGGCTCTTACAAATGCCCATGATTAATAACTACTGTGATTCATTAGCCTGTGTTGTTGGTATTGTTTCCCCAGTGGGAGCATTTGCTATCTAGGGATAGTCAATGATTACTCTGCCTTGTGGAACAGTAAGATGCTTTCAATCTAATGCGCTGTCCATGTTTTAGCATAAAATAATATTAAGGCATCCACATAATGGAACCATCTGAAGATCCATTTTATTAAGCACTGAAAGAAAATGTGTGTGTGCTTGTATGTGCAAGGGAAACATAATCAGCAAATCTTGTTCACCAGAAACATAATTTCAGTAAGCGTTTCCTGTAAAGACACAGCTATTTTGAGGTACAGTTCTTTGGATTTGAGGTTGAAAAAATACTCTATAGCGAGTGTCTTACCTGGTACAATTAACTTACTCAAATTATATTCAGCCTATCTGAAGTAGGAAAAATAGGAAAGAGAGGTAGGTTTATTGTATTTATTCCATTTTGTGGGTATTTATTTTAAATGCAATCTACCTTCAAGTACAAAGCTGTAGTGCTCTTAAAAGATTACTGTTTCAAGTTACTTCACCTACCTTAACAGAGCATGTAACCTTTTTACATTATATGATCAACTTTTTGACAGTGCAGGGCCAGCACAGCTAATGGAATAATAGCCTGCAGGGTCCAGCTAAATGATATACGAATATAATCAACCTTTGTGATGACTATTCAAAAGTAATCCCTTTAGCTTTCAACTGCAACATATATTTCAACCAGGCAAATCCATATGAAGAAAATCTCTGCAGACTCCACTGATACAATATGGCCTTCATATCCCCACAGTGTGTTTGCTGCTCACAGTGAGTTTTAAATTTAAGGTAATGGCTACTGTATATTCATGTGAGCATAGAACAATACCTTTGATTTGTTGGAGAAATGTTACATTAGCTACCAAGGGCCCTATTCAGTAAACTTTGACACAACCCTTATATATGGTTTACTGCTTATTCTAAATGGAATATGCCTGATAAAAATGCTTTGCATGCCCAAATTGTACAAATTCATTAATCTTTATATTCATAAAACCTCGAAGAACAACTGCCTCCATTCCAAGTGGACCTAGTCAGAATGCATGGCTAAACATTCAGGCCCAATCTGCTTTTAAAAAAGCCTTGCATCCATTTTCATTTATCAAGACAGAAAAAAAGTATGAAGATCTTCTACAAGTGTGGGACATGCATGTTGTTGGCTGTATCTTTATTCCTACTCCATTACATCATTCTACAGATTATATAACTGAAAACAGCTGCATGACCTTTAAAAATGCAAGTGATTTTTAAATTACAATAATGGGTTATATCTCATCAGCTACATTACACCAACATGATAATCTAGCATGCCCTGCCAAATCGTGGGGAGAGTATAAAGAATATGGTGAGATAGTCTTGCTTTCTCTCTCTCCCTTTTGTGACAAAAATACCGTATTGGCTAATAATGAGTCTGAATATGTGAAATTAATTGTATTAAAGGAAAACAGATGTAATGAAAACACTGCATTGCCTTATATTACTACTTTTGTATGTACAGTATAGTAAGAGTTCACTCACATTAACAGCAGTTGCAAATATGGTCTTGTTTGCATATGTGTACCTAAGTAGATGTAAAAACATAACGGCACTGATGCTGTCTTTTGTTTGAGGTGTTCTACTACAGGATTTTATGCCACTTAAGCAAGTTAGCTATAGTAGAATAGTAGGAGAGGATACAGACTTTCTCCTATGTGTTTGCCCTGTCTCTTGAGTGCACAGAAAATTAGGGCGCCCTCAGCATCCTGCAGCAGGGAGTTCCAAGGATCAGTTGGCAATGCACAAAGAACCCCTTCCTTTGTTTCCAAGCGCACTACCTCCCACCATCAGTACATCCCACCTCATTCTTTTATTGGAAGAGACAGTGAAAAATGGTTTCTGTGTCACCTTCTACATGCTACTCTCATTCTTACTTTTGTCATCTCAAAATATTGCCTTTCTTTTTTTTTTTAAGGCAGTTTCAGCTCCCCCAAACAATAGTCCTCTTATGATTCTTCATCAGTTCATGGAGCTTTTGAGTGGAGTTCTTGTTTAATAAATTCCAACAGTCTGGATAATGCAAAACTTGAATTTGAACACTTTCCCATAATATCAGCATATAGTCTCAGGAACACGGGTGTTGCCTGTTTTATTTTTTTTTATAATCTTTTGAAAGAATGGTGCCTGAAATTCCTGTCCTCTCTGGAGTTAGTGATCATTTTGGTTTCAGTCTTTGTAACTGTGGCTTTCATTCTTTTGTATGACTTTCCACTAATTATATTGTGTAAAGGGTGAGCAGCTCTGCTTAGCTTTCTCCCCAGAACATAGTGAAATAATGAGATTTTTGGAAGTGTGACGATCTTTAGATAGACACATGTAAACAGCAAGAGAGATGTCAATTCTAGCTGCACTGAAAATTCAACCAGACAATTTTAATTATATTTTATCAACAGCAGTGATAATATGTCAGGAACATCCTATTATGATTAATTATATTTACATACTATTAATACATATTAATGTTTATCTCTACATTTTGCACAACACAATAAGATAGAAGGAGAATGCTTGATGGTGTGATCTGTGGTGGTATATATGTATTATCATTATGAATATGAGATGCTTTTATTGTTCCCAAATAGCACAGGCCAAACAAATGCCAAGAAAACATTTATGGCTCAGTGTTCCATCAGTTATCCTTGATATGCTTCATATTTGCTGGGAGGGTAGAACTGTTAATCAGACAATAATAGCTTGGTGTCCAAGTGTGAAGGCAAAAGGCCAAAAGGTGCATGAAAAAAGCAATTTATGCTCTAATTCCCCATCTGTCATGTACACATCCCCACCATTTTTTGCATGCCTCAGTGTATGTAAGATACGTTGCTGTCAGAGACACGCTTTTATGTGTATTTCCTTGCAAATACATATGTTACTATACATACCTAGGCACATTTTGGGCTTGAGTCACCCACCTGTCTTGCACCACTTTTTCGACAGTGGGCTTCCTCTGGAAAGAGCGATAACACTACACTGGTGTAAAGCTGACGTGGGGCAACGTAGTTCCAACCCTCTGTTAGCACTTCTGGACTGCGTGAGGCTCCCAGCTGCTTCACAGTGTTCAAGCTCCTAAGCCAAACTGAGAAGTTACAGACTCTGCAGCCATGAGAAGAGCCCCTTGTATTCAATTAGGTTTTATTAGATTTTTTTTTTTTTTAGACATGGTCTGCTAGTAAAGGAATTTCCATTGATGTAGTTTAGGCCTCATTTCAGAAAATATTGCCTGCAATAACTACATTGTTGAAACTGTTAATGTACATTTGCCCTCATACAAAATAAGACTTCATCTGGTAAGGTATGCTAACTCTCAGATATTCTTCATAGGTTTACTTATCCTATGCTTACTTGCATACAACTGTGGATGAAGTCCTAGTTAGCAATTATACTTAATAAAAGCCTATGATAAGATGAAACAGAAAATTTATTGAGTCTCGAGTGGTCCAGTAGTTTGCACCTGTTCCAGACATTGCACCAGCAGAGACACTGCTTTGAACATTATTTTTCATCTCCACCAGAACGGGATTAATGTCTTTATTTCAGACGCTAATTCAATTCAGACACCATATAAGCACCATTGGTATGGCTGTGACTTAAAGACAGAGTCCAGTTTTAGGCATCACAGTGCAAAGAGGTAGTGACAAATGGAGGAGGATCCAGCCACGGCTTATACAGAGGTCAGAAAACATGAGCTCCTTTCAAATATTGAAGAAACTGCATTTGCTTAGCCTCAAAAAGAGCAGACTAGGGGAAGGAAAATAGCCTCCCAAGCTGTAAGGAGTTATTATAAAAGAGGACGGTGTTCCTTTGCTCTTCATGTCTGGCAAAGGTAGAACAAGAGAAAACTCAGTTTAATTTGCAATAAATATTTATCTTAAGTATTAGGGAAGAAACTGAGCTATAAGATTGTGAAGCACTGGAACAGAGAGATTAGGGATGTTGTGAAATGGCCTTTATCAGAAGCCTTTGAGAATAGATTTGACAAATAGATGTCAGGGATGGACTAGATATATGTGCACTTTCTTCATTTGAGGAGGTGAACCAGATGAGTAGTTCCCAAAATAGGAAACAATCCCCCAGGGATGGCGTGGTTGTAACTAGGCAGAGGGAGGTGTGTTGCCGGAGAGTCACTGGGAACGGAGCAGAAAGTGCAGCTGGGAGGTGGGAGTTCGGTGCAGAAATGGAGCAAGGAAGGAAGAAGGCTGGGCGTCACAGGTCGCGGGAGCAAGGGGAGCGTGCAGCCGCCGAAAGCCACGGAGTTAAGCCCTTGCCTCCCAGCCACCTGCTCTTTGGATCACGTCCCGTTAGGAGGACCCCGCTGAGAGGTGGCAGCTTTACTGATCCAACCTCCTCACCCTGCTCTTGCTCTCTGCACCGCTCACTCCTTCCCCTGGACAGTCGTCTTACTGCCTGCCATCCTTCAGAACTGTCTTTGCCATCACCTTCTCCCACATGCCTCTTCCTTGTTGGGTCCCCAGCCGGTCCCACCCGGACCTATCCTGCAAAACTGGCCCATTTGAGAAGTGCTGCACAGGCATGCAAGAAATAAGAACAGAAATCCCTGTGGGTTCTGTATTTCTAGGATTACATCTTATGTGGCTCACCTCTGTGTTGTCTCAGATTTCCTTCTCTTGTGACTTTATATTGTACCATGTGTTTTTCAAATAAACCTTCTAGGCTTTTCCACTATTAAGAATGTTGTAAGTCTAAAGCACTAATGCACTTTTTTTTTTTTTTTTTTTAATAACAGAACTTGATATAGGAGCAAGTGCTTCAAAGCCCCTGTGAGCCTCTTCCAAAGACACCAATTCTAGCTCCTTCCTGGTACAGTATTTGCTCTTAATCCATAGTCTTTATATCAATATGCTGATTTTTTCAAATTGTCATTGGTATCAAAATTTAACCTGATTGACAGGCAATTGCCCATCATCTGTGTTTTACTTTATCCAGCTAACAATATATTTCCTGCTCATAAATGAACAAACTCACACTTCCTTCAAATTTTTTATTTTCCCAGTTTTAGAACTTAATTGCCTTTGATCATGTAATTGATTTTAATTTACAGAAATAAGCCTTTGAGATAGAAACAAATCTATTAACAAGATGCTGAACCCAAATAAAAACCATGTAGATACCAAAGTGTATATGTAAACTTACAACATTTACTATTTTTTTCTTTGCTGTTTTTCATTATAGAGAATGCCTGCTTAGCTACAGAGAAGCTGATAATGAGCTATAATGAATACAGGAAGATCCTTGAGGAATAATGCAAGAAAGTAGGAATTTCAGTAGGAATTTTGTCATTTAAATGGGAGCACGGTGTTGCAGTATAAGCTGCAATAGTCTTAATTATCCAATTATTGCAATAATCTGAGAGCTCTAAGTTCTTTTATAACTGAAGTGTGGCTTCAATGTGTACTGCATGTTTTTATCAAAAATAGCTGGTGTCATTGAAATAAATATAAAAGAAAATGAGTAATATGGAATAGAAAGTTTGCACTTGGTGCCCCTGATACTTATGCTTGCTGTCTTCCAAAGTGTCAAGATCCTCCTGTTAAGATATTAAACATCCTTTATGCCTACTGAATGGGAGTTCAAGACGCATGATACCTTGTAAGATCAGGTTCTAAATGTGTCTGGAGAGTTTTCGTTAAATCCCAAATTATTATCCCTTTCAGAAGAAATAAGCTGCAAGCTTGACGCATTGTTCAATAGGGCTATCAGTGGTTTTAGCATCTACGCTTAACAGTTGGGGTTCAACTGTAACTTGAATAGAATAGATCCAGCCTGGGTGGCACACCATGGTGCAATTTTGATCTAATCTATAACCCAGGTTGGACCCAAAACACAGCTAAGTTTGTTTAAAATCTGATTGAGCACACTCATGAAACTGTTGAAAGCCTGTACAATCAAAGCATTTGAAATGTCATTGACTGTCTCAAGTGCAACATCAATCTATAGGGACAGCTGAAACAACTATATTTAACAGTGAAAGTGCATCTGGTAGAATACCTGTATGTCACATTTTCAAAACTGAACCCAGAATTCCCCTTTTAGCAAAGCCTGGGTTCATTCACACAATCAGGCAAAATAAAATTCTGCCTGGATTCTTTCTGATAAATAATCTGAAGCACTGATTTTGGTCGTGTGCGTGGAGAATTGTCTCCCCTTTTTGAGCTGATGAAATTCTTGACAGTGGTTTCCCCACATGACCCCACATCAGACTCCTGTGGTATTCATAGCCCTCAGAGGGTATTTTCCAGCTACCATCACTGTTAGCCTGAAGAGGAGATAGAGGACAGCAGATGGCAGTTGTCACTTCACAAAATATATGTAAAAGCAGGATTTGGAACCTCTGAATTTTATTTAGGAAAATTGATGAGCTTTCATAATCTCATGTATTAGAAACCTGTTCTTTCAAACTGCTTAAACAAAGCTTCATGAATCCCAACAGTCACCCATTCCTTTCTTTACATGGAGGTTTCCAGATTCAGAGTTTGAAGCAAGGTCCATTAGACCTGTAATCAGTTTTTATGACAGTCTTTGAGCAAGCAATAGCTTTTGCCACAGTAATAACTCAATTCACTGGTTTTCATCAGGACTGCAATTTGAGTAACTGGTTGACATGTGACAATAGGATTTCTCACTGATAAGGTATGGTAAAAATGTATCATTAGCTAACTCTTATTAGACCATTTTTGATCACGATGCTGCGTACATGCAATATAAATACAAATAACTCAGTAATGTTATTCTTTTACTTAGAGGTCTTTATTGTCTGAACACCAAGATTATTACAGCAATGTTCATTTAGAATGTTTTCACAAGGCTGAAAAGTTCTGTAGGAAAGTTCCTACATGCAATCGTGCACACACATAAGCATACAAATCTCTTTACTGAGTGTTAAAAAGAGGTAAACTTTTTATGAAAACCAGGAAGAGAAACAGGTTCATCAATTAAATATAAACAATAACAGGGTCTAGTTTACACCTTATATTTTAATGCTATTGGTATGAAATACAAAAGACATTATAAAAACAGCACAATTCTGCAAATATTATCTGAAAACCACATTAAGCTGCAAACTCTTCTAATCTTGGTAAGTAAAGCAGGACAGCTTGTAAGAGGTTGCTATTTTTAGATAGTTGGGATTTCTTTTCTCAGAATATTGTCAAAATAAATGGCGTATTTGAATTTATCCTCATAGTAAAAAAAAAAAAAAAATAGATAAAATAACATAAACCAAGCGGACATTCTAGAAAGATGATTATCAATTTTTCAAGGGCAAGTTTCTAAATTCTTAAGGGTCTTGAACCTCATGTACATTTCTGCAGTAACTGAACATTCTGTGTATGTGTCCCAAAAGTTATGATGCAGTTATATTAAGTAGCATCCATGATCATCACTTTTTTGCCAATCTACACCCGTTACTAAGTGTAACTTTTGTATGCTTGTGAAAAAATGGTCACAAATTAATCCTCTAGAGCATTAGCTCTCCCATACTTTTTGATGACACTTTTTAGTCATAAAGCTTTTGATAAAAACAAGAGGACTTCTATCATCCTATAATAATGTAAATGCAAACTGTGTTCTTCAGAATCAGGAAACTTCGGGGGTAAATTAAGTTTATTGAGCTAAATGTACCTGCCTCCCATCCCAGTAACGATTTGTCTGACAAGTAACTATCTGTCTGGCAGAATGCAGGCGTTGTTCTGCTCCTTGCAGACTTCTGCAGTGGGAAAAGGAAAGCTCTGCTTTCCCCTTCAAATTCATGGGTTAGGTAGAACGTTTGTCCATATCTTATACTTCAGACAGGATCCTGGAATAAACCTCTCAGCTGTTAGAAGCAGTCAGAGCTCCGCGGGTCACGGGCAGGCCTGGGCGTAATGCCTCGCGTGATCCAGCTGAAAGCGCGGTGCTCGCTGGTACTCACCTGCAGAATCAACTCAGCGCTCCTTTAGAAGAAAAATCACCACTTACTGAATTACCAATGCTTCTTCCAACATCACTTTTCTTTAGTGATCTTTTGCCAGCAGACATAGTCCTGCACCTCAGATATCTGCTGAGATCAGAGCTCAAATTAGTATAATGGAACTTGTGTACTTCGTCGCTTTACGTGAGAGATGCTCTAATTTCTTTAAGGAGCTCCTCATATGGAACAGAATTATTCTCCGCTCTGCCTGATTCATTATCACTGAAATCCTTCCTCCAGGTTTTTCCAGAAAGCCTCTGATCCCCTGGCCCTTAAGACTTTGCAATCGGAAAGGAGGACTCACGAGAGAATATGAATTGCAGTTGCAGGTTTTTCTGTGTTCTGAGAAATTATAGGCATAGTTGACTTTAATGAAGTCAGGAAAGCAGGTAAATCAATTTAGCCTATAATGCCAGTTGGCTGTTTCAAAACAAAGACTTGTCAAACATATTATAGCAGATGAATATCTGAATAGTTCTGAAGTGTAATATTGATGTCTCTAAAATCCACATCTTGTGGGTGCCTAAGGTATGCAAGACTGGCAATTAAGACTGTTGTTTTAATAGGATTTTAGAAGTTTTCACTGTGGATGTATCAGATGGTATTGACTGACAGTCCATAGCAGAGGGGAAGGTTGTACCTCAGAAAGGATTCTGTTTATAATTACGAAAAGCATGTTTTCTGACCATTAATACGGTATATCTTGTTAATTATGATGATATATAAGGTATTTCACCTGTGAAGCCATTTAGAAAATTAATGTTTGAGCCACAGAAAGGTCATTGCCATTCTGGAAGGAATCCATTCATCTCTAAATAGGCCATCTGAATATAGACTAAGAAATACACTATATATAATTACATAGAAATAGATGGAATAAATAAGATTGATGATAGATATTACTAAAGCCACATTTTAGTTTCCTGCTAGGAAAAAGTAGAATGTAACTGGAAGAAACAATAATATACATGTAAAAATGCAAGAAATAGATTAAAGTCTGAAGTAGTTCTGTGAAATTCAGCTGTCACACATGAGGTGAGAACTCATCAGCCTTCAGAAGTGGTGTGTATCAAGGACTTCGTTCTGAGATTCAGTCGAGTATTTCTGAAGACAGCTCCTACAAAAAAGAGAACAAGAGTATTTTTTTTTCAAAACTGTGTCTTGTTTGACTATATAACTTCATAGTTACTCTATAATAGCCACACTTATGCCTACAAGTAGATAGAATGTATGTGCTGTCTTTGAAGATAAACAAATAAACATGTTAATGAATATTTCCCTGTGTGAGTCTTCTTTTGACACAGGCATATCACTGAAGAGTGATGCTGAGCATGAAGGAGCCCAGCAGCCATGATGGTAAAGCACATTGCTAGGAGTTTAACCTTAGGAGGTAAACTTCTCTTTCTAAACATTTAAGGTGTAGTTTTTAAAACTGCAGAATAGAAGTCCAGAATGGCTGTTGGCCAAGTGAGCTCTCAAGCACATTTAGCAGAGGAGGAGAAGGGGAAAAAGGTGAGAGTGTGCCTTTATTTGAAAGCCTGCTGTTTAATCTTCGCTCATCTGTGGAGTGGACAAAGTGAGTCCCAGATTTGTACCCGCTTGCTGCAATGCTGACTTGGAGGAGTTAATCTCAGTAGGTGAGAAAGCAATTCAGTGACTAAAACCCCCTGTCCCAGTCCCTGCTGAATGATTCAGTTTGTTTCACTTAGGTTAACAACGAGGTTACCCATTTGTTTCATTGACATGTGAAAGGCAGACAACTTTACAACGAGAGCAGCTTTCAAGCCCAGCTCAGCTGGGTGAGATCAGGAGTGCTGGCGATGGCCCCACCTGAAGTCTCTGGCAGGTGAGGCTGTGCAGCCCCCAAAGATTTGCTCAGCTCTTTGGAGGATCACAGAGCAGTTACCCCTTCTCCAGCACAGTCCTGCAGCTTGGCCATCTGCAGTACGGGTAGAGAGAAAACCAGTGGACAGCAGATTTTCTGTAGCACACGGAAGACCCAGAGGCTGGGGACTTGAGCATCCTAGGAGGAGAGTCTGGGAGTGGCAGTAGCTCCTGGCTCCCACTTGGCTCCGAACCCAGCTAGAACCGAGATCTCCTGACCCAGACTGATGAGAGGCAAGCCTTGTCTCTGGGAGGCAGCTTCCTTCAACACCAGATTTTGGCCCATTTAGCCCCCAATTTAGGCAAGACATATCCATATGCAGAAGTGTATCACCTCTGAAAGGTTGCCGCCTCCAACACAGAGCTATTTAATCCCTGGCAACATTGCTGCCTGGGCTTCCTGGACTGTTTCACAAAACGATGCCCCATCTGGCCACAGGTTCACCATTTGTAGTACAAGTGGCTTGAATCTGGACTTAACCACAGCAGTGCCTCTAAAAACGTCTTCAGAGAGCCCTCCCTGAAGCATACTGGTCACTGTTATTTTCTCATGGTTTTTTTTTTTTTTTTTTTTTTCATAAGAGTTGTCTGCCTCCCGGCTCCTCAGCATCAGTTGGCTGAGAAAATTAGACACTCTCGCTTTCCACGTGAGTACCAGGAAATCAGTATCCCTGGCATTGCTGTCTGCTTTCTGGGCAGACTACACTCATGCCAGGCTCACAGTACAGATTAAAACAAAATTTATTTATGATAAGGGAAGTTCAGGATTACCTGGCTTCTGTCTCCAGGCCCTACTCTCTCACAGCAGCCCCTTTAACTTTTATATTCTGAATTGCAATGAGCTTTCACGTCTTCGGAGCCCTGATACTCTCAGAGGAGCTCTGCGATATTAGAATATTTTGATGAATTAGAGCTTTTGCTTTTACTTCGCCTCTACAAACCTCTGTTCTGGGAGAGCAATATCACGGATGCATTCACATTTTGCAATGCGTTTGGCGGAAATGGCTCAACAACTGCTTGAGATGGGGACAGTTAAGCAGAAAGGGGCAAAGATTTATGGCACTTTGAATTCTTCCTGTCACGCTGAAATCCAGCACTAGCATACCCTGTTCGCGCGGGGGGCAGGGAGGGGTGCATCTGGCTTTGCCAGCAACGACGGAGTAGATCATGTGCACAGAGCCAGCGGTGAGCGGGCACCCGCGCAGGCTTGTAAAATGTAACTGCTCCTGCGCTGGTTGTATGGAGGCTCTCATGGCAGCCAGCAGCTCCCTTACGTGAAAAATGCCAGGTTTTTTGAAAATGAAGGCTGTAGGTCAGCCAAGGGGCTGTGTACCTCTCGTGCTGTTGGAGCCTGGGGCTCTACAAAAGCAACGCAATCGCTGTTGCCACTGCGCAGTCTGTATAACTAGGGGGGAACACCACGAACAAGACTTACTGATGTGCCTGTAGGGGAAATTTAGCCAGACAGTTGATAACCCTTGTGTGAAACCAGCCTGGACCAAGCCAGCTCAATCCCCTGAAACACAAACTTGTGGGGCAGCAAAGGTCACTCTGGCAGGGGCAGGAAAGATGTCCAGGATCGGTGTGAATATCTGAACTGCAGTAGGAGCCAGTAAGACATTGGGACTAGGAACCATCTTTGAGATAACTTGTGCATACCAGGCTTGGCACAGTGGTCAGGGAGCAGGAGTGCTGTGCTGGTCCAAGATGTGTGCATGCACACATGCCAAACTGCCTCAGAGCAGGCAGTGTTCAATCAGTGTTGCTGGTTGGGGTCATTCATCTCAGTCATGTTCTAGGTTTTTTTCCTTCTTTTCCTGGGATCAAGTGCAACCTCAGCAAGTTTGCCAACCACACCGAGCTGTGTAATGCGATCAGCATGCTGGAGGGAAGGAATACCTGGGCAGGCTGGCGAGGTGGGCCTGTGCAAACTTCATGGAGTTCAACAAGGCCAAGTGCAAGGTCCTGCCTGTGGGTCGGGGCAATTCCAAGCACAAATCCAGGCTGAGTGATGAGAGGATTGAGAACAGCCCTGCAGAGGACTTGGGGGTATCAGTGGATGGAAAACTGCCTGTGAGCCAGCAAAGTACGCTCACAGCCCAGAAAGCCAACCCTGCCCTGGGCTGCATCAAGAGAAGTGGGGCCAGCAGGTCAAGGGAGGGGATTCTCCCCCTCTACTCTGCACTCGTGATACCCCACCTGCAGTACTACATCTGGCCCTGGGGCATCCAGCATCAGAAGGACATGGATCTGCTCAAGCTGGGTCCAGAGGAGGCCACAAAGATGCTCAGGGTGCTGGAGCAGCTCCCCTGTGAGGCCAGGCTGAGAGAGTTGGGGGGGTTCAGCCTGGAGAAGAGGCGGCTCCGGGGAGACCTTAGAGCAGCCTCCCAGGGCTTAAAGGGGGGACAGGAAAGGTGGGGAGGGACTCTTTGTCAGGGGGTGTGGGGATAGGACAAGGGGTTTAAACTGAAAGAGGGCAGACTTAGATGAGATATAAGGGAGAAATTCTTCCCTACAAGGGTGGCCCAGGGTGCCCAGAGCAGCTGTGGCTGCCCCCTCCCTGGAAGGGTTCAAGGCCAGGTTGGACGGGGCTGGGAGCAACCTGGGCTGGGGGAAGGGGGCCCTGCCATGGCAGGGGGGTTGGAGCCAGCTGATCTTTAAGATCCCTTCCAACCCAAACCATTCCATGACTCTATGATTCTTCCTGATTAGAAAATTACAGGATAGTGGAACCTGCCTAGCAAGTTACTTTCTGAGACCATCTCTGCCAGAAAACTTGGTAGTTTATACAAAGTAAATAAAAAACAGGCTGTGAAGGTGAGCAAAAATAAAAGAATAAAAAACATAAACTAATGTATTTGCAAAAAGTATGCTTGCCTTAGTCACCCCCTCTTTCTCTCCCAGATCCCACGTCCCACTGTAGGGAGCTGTGGCATTTCCATCAGTGAGACAATGCATTTTCCCTTGAAAGCTGCTGGGTTTAATCTCACCATCAGATGGTGTGATTCATTTCTGCAGTCCCTGTTGTACATTTCTTAATATCAGACATGAGTGAAATATCTTCAGGACTGTGAGTGAGAGTGGAGTTAACTATTTTTTCAAAGGAAAAAGATGCTGGGAATATATAGTGGTCTTCATGAGCTGAAAGAGCGATGTGAAACCAAGGCCAGACTCCTGGGCTTCACATGATGAGCCTGTCGTTGGTATTGACTGAGTGAGCCAGAAAGAGGCTTTCACACCTCTAAAACAGAGCCAGTTTGGTTCAGCCAAACCCCAGGTGTAGCTCGGAGCACTGGGCCCAGCACGCAGCTGCCCAGAGGTGGCCACATCTGGTGAGTAACAGCTACAGCCCGGCAGAGGAGAGGGGCTGCAAAGCTGTGCTGCGTGCTGCATGGCTTTGTCCTCCACAAGATAGCAAAGCTTTCCTCCGCCTTTTGAAGTGCTACAGTGACTCCACAGAGCTGTGTGAATGAACGAAAAGTTTCAGGTAATAGTTTAGGTTTTCTCTCTTCTTCTGTGAGACCAACACATGCACAAAGTCTGTTTTAAATACGGTCATCGGATGCATTGTCTCAGATCACTGGATGGGTAAAGAAGTCCTCCTGAGAGCTGTGTTCAATGAAGACAAGCTGAAGTCCTTTTACTTTTTCCTCTGGTTTCTGAGCTTTTGAATTTTTTTCAGGGTGTATGCTGAAGCTCTTTCCTGCAACAGCTTTCCTGTAATGGAAGTTGCAGTTCTCAAGTCGTCTCCTGACTTTTGAAGCAAAGGCTTCAAAGCCTCCCCAAATATTGCAAGAGGAAGTAAAAATCCGCATGCGGTAGCCCTGAATTTCGTCTTCAGACCTTCGCTGCCTGGTGGTTGTACTCAAGTCTTATGAATTTCTACCTGTAAATCACCCTCAACACCTTTAAAACACAAGTGTTCGTAATGGTGCTATGACCTGGAAAAATTTATTTTCTAGTTTAAAGTGGTCCTGCCAACTTCAGCTGTTCTTTTACATCCCAGCATACTGATCACACATTTGGGAAGAAAGTACTTTCCATGATTTTGCCTGGTCTACCATGAGTAGTTCCTTGGTTAGGAGCTTGATCCTTTTTTCTCACCCTTTTCCACATCCAGCACTGCATCATTAAAAAGAAATAATCTGTTGATCAGGTAGATGGATATTCATACCAGAACTAAGTCAGAATCTCACTCCCTAGCAGAAGGGCTTTGGGTCAAGACTCAAATACAAATTACAGTAAAACTGAGATTTTGAGCCTGCTGTATTCATTTTCCATTTGCACTTTCTTCCCCACTTTTCCTTGTACTCA